GAGAACGAGGCCGAGCAGGAGGCCTGGTACCAGGCCATCAGCGAGCTCATGAGCCAGAGCAAGAGGGGCTTCCTGGAGCAGGAGGACCACGCCGATCAGCAGGTGGATGAGGATGACGAGCACTATGGGGCCACCCTGAGGCCCGGCACCGTGTTCAAGGAGGTGTGGCAGGTCAACGTGAAGCCCAAAGGGTTGGGACAGACGAAAAACCTCACTGGAGTGTACAGGTTGTGCCTCTCCAGCAAGGCCATCCACCTTGTCAAGCTGAACTCGGAGGTGCCCTCTGTCCACCTGCAGCTGATGAACATTCGCCGCTGTGGACACTCAGAGAACTTCTTCTTTATTGAAGTGGGCAGATCTGCCTCTATTGGGCCTGGAGAACTCTGGATGCAAGTGGATGATTCTGTGGTTGCCCAGAATATGCACGAGACTTTTCTGGATACCATGAAAGCTCTAAAGGCCTTTGCAGAGTTCAGGCCCCGGAGCAAGAGCCAGTCTTCTGGTGGTGGCAGTGGTACCAATCCCATGTCCCTCATCAGCACCAGGAGGCACTTGGGCAACCTGCCCCCCAGCCAGACAGGCTTGCAGAGAAGATCTAGAACTGAGAGTGTTGCTGGAGGGACTCCTCCTACCACCAAAAGCAACAACTCCTATCGCTTTAGAACATCCAGTGAAGGAGAAGGAACCATGGCTAGACCTTTTAGGTCAGTGACTGGGAGTATGATCCACCTGAATACTGCAAGGATGAATTTGGGCCGTCAGGAAGGGAGTGGAAGGTATGTGAGAGCTGCTTTCAGCTCATCTTACCACACCAGGTCTGCTTCGCTGCCCGTTTCTCATTTTCCCTCCACTACAAGTCCCATCAGTGTTTCTTCCAGTAGTGGCCATGGCTCTGCTTCGGACATGCTGACCAGGCCTTCTAGCTCATCTGTTTGTGGTTCCCCGAGTGATGGAGGGTTTATCTCCTCTGATGAATATGGCTCCAGCCCTGGAGATTTCAGGTACTTTCGGGTCAGGAGTAATACACCGGATTCCCTGGGAAACACACCACCTATCAGAGAGGAGAACTGTCTGAGTGAATACATGTCCATGAGTAAGCAACAAGTAGATGATGGCTCACGAGATGATTATATGGAGGCTGAAAAGTGTTTCAGGAAAAGAACTTACTCGCTAACAAAACCAAATTCTGTAGCAGTGCAACAGAAGACAACACAAACTACAACTTTGTTAGATGAAGATTCTGCAGGAAATCATGGGCGATTACTTTACTCTGAAACACCAAAATTGAAAGATAACCATGAATTGGAGTACAGTGATACTAACCTTGATTCCGTGTATAACCAAAGCAGGAGTCAAGCCAGGGATGATGGATACATGCCAATGATGCCAGGAGTTGCATCTTCTCTCTCCAGCACCAGCGATTATTTGCCAATGACTCCTAAAAGCATGTCTGTTCCAAAACAGATCAACAATTCCTGGTCACCATCTCAAGTTGACTCCCGAGGATATATGATGATGTTTCCAAAGGCTGGCTCTTCACCTGTACGGAGTCCTTTAACTGGATTTGGTTCTAAAGGAAGTAATGAGAAGATTGTAAACAATGAGTATATGGATATGTCACCTGGTAATTCAGCTCCAAAGCACCCCGGTGATTCAAATTATATTCATAGCACTTCTGTGTCCAAAGGTTTTAGTTCATATTTTTCTTTGCCCAGAAGCTTTAAGGCGTTATCAGGACAAAATGGTGACCACAGTGAGTATGTTCCAATGTCTTCACCTGGAAAACTCTTGTATGGTGGACCAGAAAATGTAAAAGGGGTGAGCAGTGAGACTCTGGCTAATGGCATCTCTAAATTGCCAACGTTGAAAGGTTCAGATGAAGGACTTGTGCAGAACAGGGCCACCAGGCCCACACGCCTGCCCCTGGGTACGAGGGGGAGTAATACCATCCCCAGAATGTATGACCGTACAGTTCCACCTGAGCCAGCGAGTCCCGGTGAATACATAAATATTGATTTTAACGAAAAGGCAAGTAACACACCCTATTCCTTATCTGCAGAAGGATCACCATCATCTCTGGGCTCAAGTAGTGATCACAGGCAGTCACCGCTCTCCGATTACATGAGCGTTGACTTGGATGTACAGTCACCGAAAGTAGCAAAGGAACTGTCGAACTCTCTGACAGATATTTCAATTTATGCAAGTTCCAGTATTCCTAGAAACCAACCAAACCCTGACTACGCCAGGCTCTCATTTGGTACTGCTTGTGTCAGCACCACGAGTAACAGGACTGATGACTACACCGAGATGACGTTCAACATGGCAGCAACACCACCTCGGCCGTTTGCCACCGAATCTGACAACGGTGTGAAGATGGATAGTCCTTCTTCCATCGTTAATAGACTCTGCATTGTTGATCGATATGCTGGCAGCAGTAGCTTCTCCGTTCCTGGCTCTGACCCTCCTATGGGACCGAAAGTGATTCGAGCTGACCCTCAAGGCAGGAGGAGACACAGTTCTGAAACGTTCTCTTCTGCTGGGACTGTGACGACCTCGTCCTCTTTCTTTACTGATAGTAGCAAAAGACACAGCTCTGCCTCATTTGACAACGTTTGGTTAAAACCGGATGAAAACATTTCTGATGGTCAGGAAAGCAAAATGTCCAGGGATACCTCAACTGGATTTCAGAATGGCTTAAACTACATCGCTCTGAATTTACGCGATGACCCCATAAGCTGTGAGGCAAGTACTACAACGCCAGCTTGCCATCTCCAGAATGGTACTTCAGGTTTGGACAGTGGAGCTTACGTAAGCATAGATTTCAGCAGATCTGATGGTCTGAAGTGTAACGCTGCAAGAAAAGGTTTGTAACTTTTTAAAAGCACTTCC